CAACTTTGTATCCCCACACCCTCCATCCATGCCCGTCACCTCCTCCAACTTCTTTGGACCCACTGCTCCGTACTGGAGCTCACCAACTGCCGGCATCTACCCCAACCCAAATGTCCCCCGCCACCCTAACACCCATGTGCCTTCCCACCTGGGCAGTTACTATTAAAAGACCCCTTTCTGTCCATCCTCTTAAAAACCTCCCCTTTACCCACAACAGAGTCCACAATTGCTGACCTGCACTCCCAGTGATGCCAAACCAATGAAGACTGAATTGATAGAGGCATTTGACCTCTGAAGGAAATAAAGGATGATTCAATTGAAGTTTTTATATATATATGTAAGAATTTATAAACAACTGGATGCTATGCTCCAAAATGGAATACTACTTACCTTTACAAGACTAGCAAGTGTTTTAGTCTGTTTTAGTTTCCTGTGCCTATCTGTTTCCCATCCTTCTGAAAGCTGCACTGACAGCTGTCCTTCCAGAAAACCTTCCCAAACCAAAGTCAGAAGATAGGAGAAACAACCTGAGTCCAGCTGCTTCCGCACCCCGCTACAGTACCAGACATGGGCCTATTATTTATGGGTCTCAATCTACATCCTCCTCAGTACATTATGCACATTACGCTTTAAAGCATCTCCCATTTCCGCTCATCTACAGCCTTGTCGAGGTTTCTTATTCCCACCGCAACTACCCTTTTGTTTCCACTGGCTCTATCTGCTCATCTGTCCATCTGCATCTTTTTATGTGTGTGGAGAGTCTTCTGGAATTTGCTGGATAAGAAGGAGCTCTCAAAGGAGGAGATGGACTTTTCTCAGCACTGAATGAAATTTGGCAACTGGAATATGCCATTCACAATTTAATTTATCCTCCAAACTGGAAGGCTAGAGAAGAGTTAAATGTCGCAGAGGGAAGCGCTGTATGTTTTGCTGACCTGGGTCAACTCAGTTACTTAAAATACTTTTTTGCGTGTTGTGTGTGGAGTTCAAGGTTGGCGATGTGTACAGTTGACTTGTTTGTGCAGGGGAAGCCGAGTCAAGATGTAATTGAAGTAATTTGCAACAATAATTCAACCCAGGTCAGATGTTTTCAGGGGCCCACACACTAGGCTACTAAATGTTTGCCATGTTGTTGCCTTTCAGCCATGCCATTTCCAGATGTTTTGTTGCTCGACCATGTCAGTATTAATGTGAAAGTTTGTGAAACACGTAAATAGGGATACCCTGCAGCGAAATCAAAATTTGTCAGATGTTTTCTTTTGTAAAAACTCATAGTGGAGAAATTAATTCCTTTCCGAGATAGACCACAATTGCTGCACCTGACTAATCTAAAACATGAGAGATGTAGATGTGAATATGAAAACATACCAGAGCTCAAGACTATATGTTCATAAGTGGCTGTTTTTAATTGTTTGTTTGCTTGTTTTTTTAATCCAAAGTACTTTACAGTGCCGTGAGTGCATTTACTTTTACTCTGAGGTGGTTTCCTATGTGCCTTAATGAGACCCAAAACCCTCACCGTCAAAGTGTGAGTGCCATGCCTTAACTGCTGTTTTATGCCATATATTTTCTATTCATTATTGATGGAACAGCATTACACGTTAAGATTATTGTGACATTCATAAATAATTTCCATGTCTGACCACAAATCTGACAATTTTTGATTTTGAGGTGCACTCTGACTATAACGGCTGCCGCGGTGTCTCCTTCCTCTTTCCTATGTAGGCCAGTCAGGACAGTGTAGGTTAGCACAGAGTAGTGGCTTCACAGCAAGTCATGTTACTAAGACAGTCAAGTCGTATTCTTTTACCAGGGCTGGATCCTAGTTCGAGAGCAGCATGTGTGTTTGAATGTTAGTTTCTCACTGATCTAGAGCCCAGCAAAATGCACATGAATCTCAAGTCTGGATTTCATCATCATCATCCTGTGACAGTATCACGTTGAAACATATCCATCTTCAGGTGTTCAAAGCTATTCATAGCAAAAGTATTCCTTCAGAGTAACTGAGAGTGAACACTTGAAAATAAATTACTTGGGACTGAGTAGTTTATCAGAGAACAAAACCAATAAAGTATGACGAGATGAAACAAAGAAATCCTCAGATTCGCAAACGCTGTGCGTTTGTCAGACCTATTTTGTATTATTTTATAAGCATCAGTCAACTAGGCATTAAAGCAACTTACTGTATAAATTATGCAGAGTTATTTTCATATGTGACACAGTATTAAAAAAAGTCAAGAGAATTAATACGAGTTGACCTCGGTCAAAAATGCAAAACCTTTTAAGTCCATTTCTGCTAAGTAGTTTGTTAAGCATGTAAGCGTTTTTATATCTGTACATTTGGGCAATACATTTTAACATTTTTTAATTTTCTTGTTATTGTTATTGTTTTTGAAATTCGGTTGTAACATCCTTAATGCCTTTAAGTGCACAAGATATTTTCTTGTATTCCCAAAACCATAAATGCCTGCTTGAATCCTAATCCAATAGCCAGGGATTTCTTTACTCTATATGCAACATGTAATTATTAAGATGGTTTCTTTCCATTTCGAATCACTTTTTTTCCGCCAGGTAGCCCTTTCCTTTACATTTAAGAATTTCAGGTATTTTATGCAGAATAATACCATCAGTATTAATATTCACCACCAGCTTCTCCTGAAGACTTATAGCTTTAAAAGAAGAAATAAAAAGGGAACATGTAATTTGTAGCATAAAGAAATTATTGTAATGTACCCTTAACTTCCATGTTTCACAAGCATTATCAATGAAAAGGGATCTGTGCTACTTCGTATATGCAATGTATTTTGGATATCAAATATAAATATATATATGTGTGTTGGTGCGTATGTTTTTGTGTGTGAGCGTGTGTGTGTGTGTGTGGTGTGTAATTTTACAATTAACCAATGTATTATTATTATTGTCATTCCTGAAATGTATGAATACCTTTTGGAAAAGGTCTTTTGTATAGGAAAATGTGACAAAATAAAATTTTACCTCTCAGTTTTTTGGTTGCTTGTTTGTGGATTTTCTCTGTATTTTCCACTAGGACATTTGAAAAATGCACAACTATCTTGATAGTGACAATATATTTGTCGATTGTGCTGAAAATTCTTTTGCCTCTGTGAAATTTCTTTCAAATCATTGACATTAAGTGAGCATTTATTTTAATCATTAAACACTCTGTAGAGCATAACACATGTATTTAGCAGTATATATAGTATGTATTTACATCTGCAGAGGGTTGGAGGGATTAGAAACTCTTAGCTAAGATATTTTTTTGTAAGATTGCATCCACATTAAGAAATTAAGAAGTTCTTTTGGGTGCATCCGGTGCAGTTTAATACAACAGCCATGCAACATATCTCAATTTCGTGAAAATTATAATGGTAAATGCAACGGTCTCCAAACATTACTCAGCCAACCGCCTTATCCACACAAGTCTTTAAACCTCACACTCCAAAACAATCTCAATAGTAAATATAATATTAATTTACATACATTTTAAAAGTTGTAATTCCTGGCACTGTGAAATGTATGGGAGCCATACTTGTATTCTGCCCTGAGACCCTATTGTAGATGTTTCTAATATTTGATCCACTATATCTAAGGTCAAATAAATTGGAAAAGGAGGAGTGAGGAAACCGCAATGATATTTATAGGCATTCTTTTCTTCATGCCATGCAGCTTTTGCCATTACAATTCCAAATAACATTTTGTCATTGCAAAAATAATGATAAACTGTGTTTTTACTCTTTTCGGTTGTTTCATGTATTGAATCAACAAATCATACAAGGCCACCGACTGTGAGCAAGGGAATTGTACTTTTCTTTGTTTCTAAAAAGTGACACAATAAAGACCATATGCAGTCTCTGTCTAGAAAGAACAAAAATAAGAATAAGAATTAGATGAACAATTACAGATCTGCACTTTCTCATTTTAATAGATCATTAATATATTCAATGTTACTTGCAGCTACATTACATTACATTGCTGTCAGTAAGAGATGATAATTGTTCATATTTGAACCCTTATCGCTGTACGTTCCTTCAGTAAGGTAAGTTATCTGGCTCCACTGTGATATGTTCAGGGACTGATTGTGGTGTCTCTAAATGATAAAGACGTCAATGGGACAGATCCAGAGCCTTGCATATACACCCATCAACCACCTCCACCTCTATACTACCTTCTGTTCTGATGTAAATGCCACAAGCCAACTGATAGTTTAAAAAAAAAAAAAAAACTGCTAATGCAGGTCATAGCTGTTTAAAAGTATTTAGTCTGTATCAATATGTATGTATATTCAGTATTTACCCTAATAATAGGTGTTAGTAATATAACAACTAGTTTTTATGAATGGTTTTTGTATGAAATTACAGTTTAAGTCTTGCAAAATGCCCTTTTATTTTGCCTAGAGGCGTAAAGACAGAAATATATAGCCTATCATGTTCACAGGGAATAGCTGTCGAGAGACAGTTGTGGACTTTTTTAGTGCAAAGCATTATCAACTTTAAGCTGCTTGCTAATCAATCAATATTCCATATTGGTTTACCTTGCTCATTACTGTGCAATTTGAACCAGCGGCCTCCTGGGGCACAGGCACACGCACACACACATATGACTCAAAGCATATGCAGTTTATAAGAAAGGTGGAAGGTCCACTTTAACACCTGTCAAAGCTCCATGTTAGCAGACAGTATGTGCAGTATGTGTGTGTATGGAGAGCTCTGGTTTCATGTTCAGAACCTGCAGGCAAGATAATGAGCAGCAAGCTATGGCTTTCATCTCACAAACACCACCACTGTGTCATGTTTGGATTCCTGTTTGCTGTCACAACTTTGCTTTGTTTACAGATGGAAAGCCATGATAAGGGTTGGCACCTGTCATTATGTTGCTTTGACCTTTTTGATCACAGGCCTTATATAAAGTTCAGGCCACTTTAGACAGCAAATAATAATTACACAGCAGAGACATGTTTTTTGAATGCAAAAATAGCCTTTATGTCAGTGTATTCTTACGGAGCCCCTCCGGGGAATTTGGGAGCAAATACATTTGCATGGCCACAACATAACGCATAGTAACGAGATAATAAGTCATAATAATCAAACATAGCTTTATATACTTTTATACAAACTAAATATTTATTTGGAATGGGAGAGAGATTGTTCACAGATTTACCTGGTGAAACTTGTCTCTATTAATTATTTGCAAATGTTTCCACCACAGTGTGTCCTCAGTGTTTATCAAACTAAAGCCTGAGGCTACATCATGTGATTAAGTGAAATGTTTCATCTCTCATCCAAGCGGTTTGTTCAGTTGAGTTCGCCAGGTCTTGTTATTAAGGAACAGATTCATAACTTGTGGCATTATGTCGTGGCCACGCAATATTTTTGTCCCACATGTCACCAGAAGGGCTCCGGATATATTCTCCCCTGGGTATCAAATACAAAAAAAGACAAAATTATTACAGTACAGTCAGTGCTGCTTGCAGCCATATTTTTACACATTTCCTGAGAGCTTTGTTCTCTCCCAGTGTCTTTACTCAAAAAAAGTACAACTACATCACACACTGTTCAAAAAGACTGGCCCCATACCCCAACCCCTTGCTAGTGCCTCCATGTCTGAATAGTTAAAAACAAACTCTGATGGTTCAAGTGCAAGTGTCTCTTGTGCATGATAGCCTACAGTTACATGAACTATTGAACTACTTCATCGTTTTCTTACAAGTACGACCTCCAACACTGGTCTTTCAAGTAATTACAAGATGTATATTCAGGATTATACATTTTCTTTGTTTTTTCTGCCTCTCCATACTCGGTAAACCAGATGTACAAGGTCAAAGATAAATCAGAACTAATGGTCTTCAAGAGCACATGTATACTTGGAAAAGGCTTTTCTCTCTTTTGGTTCTTGAACTGTAGTTTTACCATCTTGCCTAACCTGGCCTCCCTATAGAAAACAGGTTTTTGGTCAGGCAGACAGTGGCAGGCGTGGTTTTAGAAACAAATTCTCAACAATAACTGTCCTGACAGATTCCTTATCTCTGTTAAACACAAACAAATAAGTAGGTTTTCTTTATCTTCACATTTAAATGATACACAATGAACTGTCTACCGTTAGGTTGCCCTACCGGCCTCTAGCACCTGTTTGTCTTCAGTCTTTCTCTTGAGATTTGCAATTGTCATTGTCTCCCCCATCTCACAACTTGGTGACATTTGGGGGATCGATATCAATCACCTCAAAGCCCAGGTTGTCAAATCCGTCTCTGGAGTGGAGGTGATGACCCTTGATATTGTGGAAACAATAGGCACAGTGTGGAGTCACTATGGGTACCACTTTAGAGAAGTTGGAGAAATCTACTCTGTACTTGCCCTCCTTGCTTCTGGAAATGATGGGCAAGAAGTTGTAGCCCCACATGATCTCCTGAGGAATAAATGAGGTCCGCACTTGGCAGGAGGAGCTGGTGGACTCAGCTGTGCCATCTAGGAAGACGACCAGCTCAAACTCTTGCTTGTGGAGTGTGTCCACTGCCATCTCGAAGAAAGGGCTGCTCTTGTCAATGATGTGGTAGAGTGTGAGGGGGCATACGAAGAAGAGGTTGTCCTTCCCAGCATCCACCGTGAAGTCGATGTTCACCTGGTCCATGATGATCGTCTCCCCATCTGGTGTGTATGTCGTTCTCAGCAGTTTGCCGTACAGCTGGCTTCCTATCATCAGGGTCTTGCGCAGGTTGGCCACTCTGATTGACAGGCAGAGAGCACCATTTCTGGAGCTGATTACAGCCATGTCACTGAAGGTGATGGTCTTTGCCCTCTTCTTAGGCAAAGAGATTTTGGACAGGATGATTCCACACATAAAGCAGTTGATAATGGCTCCAAGGAGGGACTGGATGATGAGTAGCGCCACAGCACCAGGGCAGAGAGGGGTGAGTGCCCGTCCACCATACCCAATAGTTGTCTGGGTTTCTAGGGAATAGAGGAACGCTGTGGTGAGACCTCCAACATTGTCAATACATGGGGTGTGGTCAACTGGGGGGTTTTGCCAGGTCAGGTCTCCATTGCTGCGGGCGATCCAGTACCACAGCAGGCCAAAGATGAACCAGCTGAGGGTGAAAGAGGCAATGAAGATGAAAAGAACAAAACGCCACCGGATTTCCACAAAGGTTGTCCAGAAGTCAGCCAGGAAGGCAAAGTGTTTGCTGTACTTGATGTTTCCATATTCGATGTTGCAGCGACCATCTTTGGTCACTAGTCTGCTCCTGCGGCTCTTTCGCTCCACCAGAGTATCCTGGATATGTTTGTTCAAGGTTTCAAACATTATCTCGAAGTCCACAACCTATAAGACAATAAAAGAAGAAAGAATATGCAGAAAACAGGTAAGTACAAAGTGAAAAACCCATCATGAAAGTTTTCTGAAGGAAAAAACTTTGATCTCCATTTCTAGAGTGAAATGAACTTTATCAAAAGCAATGACACTCACTGCAGCTGATGCCCGACCACACTATGTTGGTCCTATTACAACGAGAAATCTCTTAAATGCAATAATGAAGTTCAGCGTTCAAAAATGCAACTTACAAATATACTTGAAAGAGATCCGGCACCACCTATCATTTAACCAGTCAGGCCTTCTTAAACTGTCAGTCATCCATAAATACTACAATTCACTACAATCAAATAAAAATGTCACAGTGACACTGGTTGTCAGGCAAAGAAAGGGAGTTGAAAAAGGATGAAATGCCATTGCATACTGTGCCAGATATGTAGAAATACTTACACATAATAAGCAAGGAATACTGTTAAATGCTATTAAATAAAAGATTGTTTTTTGTATTTAAGTATGAAATATTAAAACCTAATAATAACAACTTTCTTACTTCCTACAGTGTTTTTATTAGTCTCCTTCTCCAACTTTGTTACTCCTCCCCAGTCTCTCTATGTTTACTCCAACCTATTGTGTCTGACTGCATTTTTAATCCCTGACTGAAATGGGCTGAAAGTAAAAAGACCTGAAGTCAATGAGAAACAAAAGTTTCCAGTGAGGCATAGCACATAACAGCATTAAATAAGGGTAATTATTTTTTTCCCGAGCAAGTGTCTCAACACAAGGATCATCTTTGTTCGCTGGATTTAGACGCAGCTAACGTAAGAGCTGCATTAAAATAATTTGGGCAAAAAAGTCCATCTACTCGCAGACATAGTAATCTTTGACTTTAGCCAGGCTCTGGGTTCTCGTAAGTCTGGAGCTTGATGGATGGTTGGCAGTATTGGCCGCACAGAGGTTTCCAAGTAAGTATGGCCTCTGTTCTTGCCAAGTCTTGCAAACTAGCCATTTGGATCGTGGTGTGCTTGTTAGAGAGTGTGAAATAGGGCAAAGCGATCATTCGTTCGTGTTTTTGTTTTTGGCCCTCAGAGCTCACATCCAGTAATTTTTCCAAGAATAAATCTGATAATCACACTCTGTAGCGTGTGTGCAGGCTTTGATCATGTTGGAAGTAAAACCTCGTCAGCATGTTTTCCTACTGTAACGATAAATATGCTCATAGGTATTTAAATTGTATGTATGACAAGTAACTCTAAACTATTATTTAGGATTGCAAAAGAGCTGTTGTTACAAATGGTCATTACCAGTGTGAAGAGCTCTTTACCACACAGCTTTAAATGTAGGAGTCTTTCATTTCACTTTCATCGCTCAGAGTCAAAGCATTCCTGAAGATAGACCAGAGTTAAAACGGTTTGGATATAATAAATCAAGCAATGACTCACAAATCACTGATATCTATTCTTTTTAATTGTTTTCCTTTATTTCTTCTGGTGTTTTTACTTGGACTGTTGCTCTGGTGTCACCACACAGGCTTTTTAAATGTGTCTCTAATACTTATCATTGATTGGCTGTATTGACTATTTTCTCCAGTGATTAAGATCTTACATTATGGTCCAAATACACAATCCTGTACTAATATGCTATTTGAGGTTTTAATGTTTTCAAATGTTCTATCCTTACATTTATTAAATCTATACCAAGAAATTAACTTTTCTTATTATTGCAGTCTGATATGTTTTTCTTTTTCCAAAAATAATTACAGTGGGGAAAAAAATGTGGTCGTAGTTTGTTAACAGTGTTGCTTCTGTTGCATCAATTCCCATGAGGATCCCTATTACTTAAATAAACATACCTATAATTCTGTTTAAGTCATTATGATGCCACTAAGTCTCATTGTAATATCGCTTACATAATCGGGGAAAACTTTAGCAGTGCATTTGATTTAAAATGGAACGTCTCTAATGAGCCTCAGTGCCTGGTTTGTAGAAACTATTTTGTCAATTCGACACAAGCCAACTTGTTTAGTTAATTTCAAATTATTATCATTACTTTTTTTATATATTTATTTCATTTACCGACCAACCACAAGACAATAATTAACAAAGCAAATAATCACATTTATAGAGGTCTATCATATATTAAAAGAAAATTAATCAGTTTATGTATTTGCCGATTCTTTACTCAGAGGCAAACCATGAAATTAAACTTAGATATAATTCTCAACATATTCTTTCAGCAATGGACAGATTCAAAAAATAAGATGAACTTCTGTCAGCCCAAACTCACCTCTACAATGTGGAGTGAAAATTGATTTGATGCTCTTTAAAGAGGTCTTGAATGGCCCTTTGTCCAGCTTTGCTTTCTCTTGTCTCCGTCTGTGTCTTTCTCCTCCTTCAACGATTGACTGAGACAGGTGATAGGTGTGTCCTCCCTCTTGTGCCTGTTCACCAGCACCTCTGAGCATTTATACTGTCCCCGGTTCTCTGTGTCCTGGAATCATCCAGGTGATGTTTACGCCCACAGAGACATCGAGTGCCCCCCCCCACACACACTCACATGCATACCCTCCTCCCCCCCTCCCCCAGCTCCATTAAGTTGTGTTTACTCCACAGATGCCTGACACCAAGGGCCAAGTTGACCTCTATCAGCCACACTCCCAGTTCACTACATGCTGCAGACTTTCACAGTTGTTTCTGGTTTGTGATTTTTGTTTTTATTGAAGGTTAAGTTTTTGGTTCTGGTACTCAGCTTGTGAGACATTATTTACTGTACAAGCAACTCATTTTTATTGGCGCTGTTTTGGGAGAGATGCACTCATCTCAGTGGATGCCAGAGTTTTGACAAACTTCTGAAGATGTTAGTGGAGTGTGCTTCTTCTCACATGACATAATATAATATGTTATAATAATAATAATAATGTGTTTGTCGAAAAAAGGAGACTGCTGATGTATTCCTCCACTACTAAGTTATATAGGTATGTTCGGCTTAGAGAGTGTCGCTTTTTATCAAATATCATGAAATATCAGGACAGAGCGACATAAATAGGCGATGGAGTGAGACAACAAAAGCTGAAGTGATTAAAAAGGAGATGCTCCAGATCCAAACTGATAGCTCTCCAGGGCCAGACAGGAACCGAATCAGTTCATGAACCCAAGATGTTCTGAATGCAGAGAGGAGAAAGGTTGTGCATTGGGATGGGAGTCATTTTTCAACTCGATTGTTCCCCATGAAAGTAACAGAAAAGGCTGCAGTATTACCTTACATGCTGCAGATTGTGTACACTTTTGACAGCCACAATACATAACCACTGACACTCAACAAGATTAGGCTTGTCTGCTTTATTTTTTCTAAAGGCGTGCTTTTGTAAAAAAAAAAGAAGCTTTTTGTATTTAAGGATTTTCTTTTATTCAGGAGGTGTTGTGCCTGTTTGTTTAATCAACTCCCTTGTTTTCATTCTTTTCACATCACACAATAGGCTGGCAAATAGCCACCAGAGTATGCATACTTATTGTTGGACTGGTTCAGCAGCTTAAGAGTTGCGGAGGCCACTTTTGATTGACAGTAATGCAATCAGAGACAGTAACTGCCATTCAATAATAATGTTAGAAACAAAACAATAACAGATAAGACGACACTGTTTCCATACGTGACAAGAAAACTACGATAATCATCAATAGAGCGATCATCAAGATCTTACAGGTGCTCGTTTCACCAAACTACAGATGGTGAGTATTAGTGGCCTCTGTGACTATGATAACTGTAAGAACAACATAAAACATGGATATGGTTTGTGGTCAAGATAAGTGTTTGCAATATATAACATTTCTGAAATTTTCCTCGACTTTTAATGCATTTCCTAATAAGAATTAAATAATCTTGAGTCAAAACCTATGAAATGGCTTAAATGCAATAAATCAATTTGTCAATTTCATAAGCATTGTCAGTTCAATAATTGCATTATTTAAGGAGATTGCTGCCCCATTGTATAAATTAAGTGAATGAATTACTGAATGATGCAGTTACAGGGATAATATTTCCAAATATACATTACTGCGTATTAGACTGTAAACTAATTTCTTATTTCTATTCACTGTTGCAACCTCTGGTGACAAGCTCACACTGTGGCATACGTAAACAGATGTTTATGTTTACCGTGGCACTTATGATAAGCTGATTAGTACATAAACACAACACTGTCACCTCGAGCCCACACTGAATAGAAATACTCGTTGCAGCACTTAAGTTCCTTTGATAACTAGATGTCTTGTGGGGACTGTAAACAAAGGCAGTTTCTCTCCACATCAGTTGGAGCACTCAGAGGAATAATGTTGGTTTCTGTGTCAGTTTCTGTCAATCAGCTGTAGGGAGGGGGG